TCTATTTGGTGTTCTATGTGCTTCTTCTATTTGTATGGGTATGTCTTTCTCTAATTTTGGGAAATTTTCTTCTACAATCTTGTTGAAGATCTGGTCCACATCATCATCTTGAGATTCTTCCCCTTCCTCTATGCCTATGATGTGTAAGTTTGGTGTTTTTATGGTGTCACACAATTCTTATATGTTCCATTCTTGTGTTTTCTTAAATTTTTCATAGACTTTGCTTGAGTGGTCTAATTCTTCCACTTTATCTTCCAGTCTTGATATTCTGTTTTCCATTTCATTCATCTTATTGGTGAGGCTTCCTCCTGTCATTTCTAATTGGCTTATTGAGTGTTTCACTTCCTTCTTCATTTCAGCCTGAGTATTCTTCAGTATTTCTCTTTTCTGAATTCATTCAGAAGTTTACCCCTATCTTCTTTCAGTTCTTTGATTTCCATGTCCTTTGTTATCTCTAGGAGGTTCTCACTGTACTCCTCTACAGGACTGCTGGTATTTGGTGGGGATATATTATTTGGGTTTTTCATGTTATTATTTTTTCGCTGTGACTTTGACATGTGGATTTCTTTTGTAGTTTCTGATTCTTGTATCAAACTCAAGCCTTCCTTTGTTGAGTTTTACTTGTTGGGCATGAAAAGCTGGTTGGTCTAGGCTTCAGTTTCTCTCTTTTGATTTTATATTGGAGGGGCCAGATGACTTTAGTCCTGCTGCTCAGGAATTCTGACAAAGGCCCAAGTCAGATGAGAATCGGATACTCTCGGGCTTTCTCCTAAGGTCAGGATCCCTCTAGTCAGCAGGCACAGTACAATTTGGGAAGATTGCTAGGTAGAAGTAGAATTCAGGACTCTCAGGTAGTCAGGGAAGGAGGCTGATCTCAGGAATCCAGGTTGAAGGTGGGACAGCTAGGGAAGAAGGCTGGTTTCAGGTGTGCAAAGGCAAGGTGGGGGAGGGAATAGGCTTTGAGGGCTCCAGGGGACTAGACTGAGGAATTGGGTTGGTCTGGGTGCAAGGGATCATGAAGCAGTGGGGAGTCTGCGCCAGGAGGGTAGTCCAGAGATCTGGGGTGCCAAGAGAAGAAATGGGCCAGTGTCCACGCTAGGAGGTGAGACAGGATGGAGGAGCTTGGAGGGTGAATGAGGTAGTGGGGGTCCTTTTGTTGAACTTTAAAAAACCAATTTTTCATTTCATGATCTTCTGTGCCCCCCTTTTTGATCTGTGCTATATATAGTTTTGTTGTAAAATCAGCCTATAGGTTCATATATTTAATACTTGGTCCCAAGATGGTGGTGCTGTTTTGTGATAGTGTGGAACCTGTCTAGAGGAAACAGGTTACTTAGGGGGCAGGGCTTGATTGTTATTAACTGCTCCACTCTGGCTCTACCTTTGGCTTCCAGATTCACCAAGACAGAGATGTCCTGAGCTTCCACAGTCAAGGACAGTGCTGCCTACTACCACTCCTTCCCTGTCATCATGGATTGTATCTCCAGTCTTGTCAGAGCCCAAACTTGGGTTTTACACTTTGTCTAGGATTTTTAGTTGTAATCAGTAGGAAGCATAGCTTGAAGAGGTTTATGCTCTCAGTAGAATTGGAACTCTTAAATTTCTAGCCATTTCTTAACACTGACCATTTTGGGTGACATGTTATAGGAACTTCATAGGTAAAGTTGCCATATACATTGAATCTTTTTCAATTTAATAGTCTTTAAAATTTTTATTTATGATGATATTGTTATCTGCAACAGGGTCTTTTTTTTATGAAGTACAGGCTGGCTTTGAATTTGCTATATAGCACAGGCTGGCTTTGACCATCCTGCTTCAGCCTCCTGAATGTTGGGATTACAGTTGTGTTACCATATCAGCTTGTTCAAGTGTTTATTATCTACCTATGATTTGCTCTATAACTTCAAAAACCAGTAACACATTAATGTAAAACTGCATGGTCCGATGTGAGAGAGATAATTTTAAAAGCCTACTGTAGCTGGGCATGATGGCGCACGCCTTTAATCCCAGCACTTGGAAGGCAGAGGCAGGCAGATCTCTGTGAGTTCAAGGCCAGCCTGGTCTACATAGTGAGTTCCAGGATAGCTGGGGCTACAGGGAGACCCTGTCTCAAAAAGATCCCCCCCCAAAAACCTACTATAATAATTCATGAAAGAAATGAATTTCAGGCAGGAAAACTATCAGAAGCTTTCCAGAGGAGGCAGGGGTGGGGCAGGAGTGCTCCAATTGCTAATTTCAGCAGAGCTGTTTCAGTATACATTCTCTGATGCTTTGTTCATGGGAGTGGAGGTCGGAGGAGATGTTAATATTATACAAACCCATTTTTTTTGTCTGTTTTTGAGGTGTCCTTATAGCTCCAGCTGTCCTGGAACTCAGTAAGTAGACCAGGCTGGTCTTAAACTCATAGAGATCCACCTGCCTCTGCCTCCCAAGTGCTGGGATTAAAGGCGTGTGTCACCACACCTGGCTACAAAGCCTTCTTTTAAAGTCTGATCTGCAGACAAGCTGTGCTGGGCAGTATTCTGGTGTTTATTAGAAAGGCAGGATCTCAGGACCCAGCCTGAGCACAGTGAACCAAAAGAGCATTTGAACAAGATCGACAGGTATTTCACAAGCACTAATAATAGTAAGTACTTAAAGTTTTTCACTAGAATTAGCAACGAATGATATCACATTCTCTACTTCTAGGCAATCATACATGTCATAGAAGAAGACGCATCCCACAAACAACAACTGGTTACATGAGTGTCTGCTACTGGATACTTTGTCTTTTATGATCACTAGTGGATTTTTGCATTGGTTATTCACATCCTGCAGATCAGGAAATTGAAGATGAATGTGGTTAAATAGTTGGCCTGAGATCACAAAAGCAGCAACAGAACCTGAATTTGAGCCTGTATGTGGTGGATTCCAAAGCCTGTGACATCCTTTTCATTATACCATCCTGCCTACTATGACCTGTAGTTCAGGAGAAGCAAGTGCTATATATAGGTCTGTCACTCACTAGTTCAGTGGTCTGGGCTACTTCATTCTACCTGTTTAGAACTTAGCTTTCTTGTTTAAGTTGATGGAGGACCCAGTAGTAAAGGTTCACAAATGACTAAGTATTAGGAGCCTTTGTTGTATGGTAGTGACTCAGGAAAACAGCAGCAGAGTGTCATGGTACAGAGTCTAGTTCTACCCCTGCTACATGTTAATTGCATGCCTCTATTTCTTCACAGTAGAACTGAGTCGCCTACACTTTGCTGTATCTCAGCAAAATGAGATACTGGCTGTATCTCAGTGTGTTTTACTGGTTCAGGTGACATCATGAAAACATTTCACACATAAGAATTAAACTTTTTTTTTAAGCTGGGCATGGTGGCACAAACCTTTAATCCCAGCACTCAGGAGGCAGAGGCAGGTAGATCTCTGTGAGTTTGAGGCCAGCCTGGTTTACGTAGCAAGTTCCAGGCCAGCTGGGGTTATGGGGAGACCCTGTCTCAAGACCAAAAAAAAAAAGAATAAAGCATTTCTTTCCTCTTTGCCTTAGTTTAAAAAATTATTTATGAGGGGCTGGAGAGATGGCTCAGCAGCTACAAACCATCCTTAACTCCAGCTCCAGGGGAATCCGAAGCCCTCTTCTGACCTTCACAGCATTGCACAACTCGGGTGCACTCACATACATGCAGGCAATATACTCGTACACAAAATAAAAATAATAAATATTTTTTAAAATTATATATGCATTTATTTATTATGTGTGTGTGTACACTTGCACATACATGAGCATGTGCCACAGCATGTACGTGTGGAGGTCAGAGAACAATTCTTGGGAGCTGGTTCTCCCTTGCTACCTTGTAAGATCCAGGAGTCAAACTCAGGTCGTTAGCCCTGAGCACAAGTGCCTCAATCCACTGGCCCACCTTGCTGGCTATTTGTCTTTATTTTAAAGACAGGAATTAGATATTGCTGAATTAATTTAGAACCATAGCTGGCTATGGAAACAATTGAGAACTCATTTTGGCAGAGCTCTGTGCTTATTTTCTCTGTGAGAACAAAGTTAACAAAAATAGGTATAGGTGCTGTACCTAGAACATGCACCTAGAATGTTCTGAGATGATAGATGTGTTCTCTGTCTCTGCTGTCCACTCATAGCCACATTCACATGAGCGTAATGAGCACTCGAAATGTGGCAGGCTGGGATGGTTAAATCTTGACTGTTAACTTGACTGATGTAAAATCACCATTGAAAACACACCTCTGTGTTATCTATGAGGGCATTTTCAGAAAGGTTAAATTGAAGAGGGAAGACCCACTCTGTTTGAGTGGAACCACTGCATGGGCTGAGTCCTGAACAGAATAAAGAGAACGCAGGCTGAGCACTAGCATTCACTCTGCTTCCTGACTGTGGATGCAGTACCCTTAGCTGCCTCATGCTTCTGCGGCCATGCCTCCTTCTCCATCATGGACAGTATCCCTTTTTAAACTGTGAATCAAAATAAATCCTTCTTACCTTAACTTGCTTCTTGTCAGATATTTGGTCACAGTAAGGAGAAAAGTAATTCATATACTGATACAACAGAGCAACTGAATCTTAAAATATACCCCATTTTCATTTATTTAAGATTAAATAGTCCTGGGGAACAGTAGTAATTATTTAACTACAGCAAAAGAGAGACAAAGATTTGCTCAGCAGCGTTAAAGTTTTTAATCTAAACTCTTAAGCTCAACAAGAAAACTGTTATTCTGCAGTTCTGAAACCTTTGCTCCCAAACCAAACCAAACTTTTAGAACATGACTGTGGCTACTGAGAGGTTTCTCTGGAATCCAGTGATCACTTTGTAGCAACACAGGATTATATCAATAAAATGTGAGGCTATGTAACAAAAATCTTTTGTTACCTATGTCTTGCCTAAAAAGGTAAAATATGTCACTTCCTTGCTTTTAAAATGGGAAATAACTGAAAAATAGGCCTTGAGTGATCACATTCTCACATGATTGCCATGGTGGTCTCCTACCTTGCATTTTCTGTCCTCCGGCTTATGCACTGGTGCAGGTAGAGATACTCCTGTGGCGCACTGGTGGACAAGGCAGGCTGCATATGGTTTGACACTGGAGGCTCAAATGTGAACAGAGTGGGCTGGCTGGAGTGTGAGGGAGCTGAGGACTTTCGTTCTCGGAGCAGGTGTTGACTGGAGCTGCTGAGCTCAGCTGGAGAAGAGCGGGGGCCATGACTGGCTGAGGAAAGGTTTCTCAGGGAGTCTATGGAAAGGAGAAAGAGCTCTGTGAGTGAAAAAGGACAGAAAGGTGTCATTATCCTACAGAGGGTTATTAGAGAAAGTATTAAGAGCTACCAATGTGGCTGCAGCATTCTCTCCTTGACATACCTGCTCCCTATCATCCCAGGGAGGCAGACTGGGGCCTCCTGGACATCTTGGCTGACTGGGAGATGATCTGCGCCTCCTCTGCTGAGGAGTAGCCTGGAGGCCAGAGCCTATCATGACCCAGGCCTGGTCTCCTCTACCCCAGAAGTGTACCTACCCACCTCCAGGATGGTGACCCTGCCAAAGGCAAAGCCAGACCCTGAAGCAGTGAGTACCATGCTTCCTTCTCCTTGGGGGCTCCTAATGTTGTTACTTCCCTCATAGCTTCTGGCTTTGTTAAATGAGACATTGCTTTTTTTCTTGGTCTTTTTGAGACAGGGTCTTACTGAAGACTCAGTGACCGAGGCCCAGAACTGTGCCTTCCTGCATTAATAATAAAGCACAAACGAATGTGGAGTTGTCCCTTCAGAACAGGTCCCATCCCCTCCTACTGCTCCTAAAGAACAGTTTGGTTCCCACTCCCCATTACTCTCCACCCATTGGTCCTTTTTCCTCTCTTCTTATCTCAAACTCTCCTCTGTTGTATTAGAAAGGAAGTGAGGTATTAAGGGCAGATAAAGGCTTAGAGTGCTACACCCCAAGGCCAGTGCATTATCCCTTTGGCTGGTTCTCTAAACTTAGTTCAAATTCCTTAGTCTGACCCACTTCCTGCTTTTTCTCCACCCATAAACAAAGCAGATGGAAGTATCATCAGTTGCTGAACACAGCAAGCCCTTTTGTGATTCTTTGTTTTTGCTTATGTTGTTCCTTTCGGCCTGGCTAAAAAAAATTTATTTATTTCTATTTTGTGTGTATGAGTGTTTTGCATGCATATAAGTAAGGGCACCCATGTGTGCACAGCCTGTGGAGACAAAAAGAGGGTACTGGGTCCCTTTCAACTGGAGTTACAGATAGTTGTTGTTAGCGATCATGTGAGTACTGGGAACTGAATCTGGATCCTCTGCAAGAGCAGCCAGTACTTTTTTTTTTTAAATGTTTTATTTTTATAAAAAATAAGTGCCCACAGGGGACAGAGGAGGCTATCAGCAGCCAGTACTCTTAACTGCTGAGCTATCTCTCCAGCTCCTGGGTTTTATTATTATTATTATTATTATTATTATTATTTGGTCTTTTTGAGACAGGCCTCCCTGTAGCTCCAGCTGTCCTGAAACTCAGTATGTAGACCAGGCTGGCCTTGAACTCACAGAGATCTGCCTGCCTCTGCCTCCCAAGTGCTGGGATTAAAAGCGTGTGCCACCACGCCTGGCGGGTTTTATTTTTATACTTCTTGCAAACTGATATGAAGACTTCAAGATTCTATGCAGCTATCACATTCCCACACAAACTTCCCTGGATGTTTTTTCTCTGTGAGTGCTCACAGCACTTATGCTTCCTTAAGGGTTTATGGTCACTTTGTTTTCTTGCCCCATTTCTGAGAACTGTGGCTGTGAGGTTATTGCCTATAGTCCCAGCATGTCCTAAGGAAAGCCTACATAGGTTCTTAGTACATGGCTGTATAAACAAAACATTCAGCATTCAAAAACCCTAACAGTGAAACTTATATTCTAAAGAAATAAAGGTTTAAGATAAAAGTTCAGGTGATGTGCTAGGCAGGAAGAGGTATTTTGGCAACCCTGGCTTTCTAGAGTATTCAAATCCTATCAGTGGGGAATAGCTTTCTGTCTGTTCTTTGTTACTTGACCTATTTTAGGCTGTACCCTTCTTATGGCCCAAGGCAGGATTACCAGCTCATTAATGCTCTGTAGTACTAATTAATCTCTAGCCACTTCTAATGCTGGGCATCTTCTGTCAGGGTATGAGAGAGAAAGCCAATGAGCCTCTGGGGAAAACCTACTTCACTGACCTCCAAAATGAATTCCCATAACAGATCTTGTAGTGACCTGGGCATTTGTTAATAGAATCAATGCCTTTATTACTCCATTAGATTTGGAAGATGAACTCTCTAATGGTGGAGGAAAGAGGGTTTGTGCTAGGGGACAGTGTAGCCATGGCACCAGGGGAAGAACACAAGCTGTTGCCTGAGAAGACACAGGGGAGGTGCAAAAAGAAAGCCTCTGATGAGGTTTTATACTCTCTGTTGACTTTCTGGTCTCTTCTGCCCACCCCTTCATTCCTCAGGGTCCAGTTCCAGGTCCTTTTATAGCCTTTCTCTGAACCTGGAACCTGTCCCTGGGGGAACCCTGGCTACTCCCAAGCTTTAGATACCACCCAAGTGATGACAACTCTCAAACCTCAATCTAACTCAGCTCTTCCCAGGTTTCCTGTTGCACATCCCTACTGGCTGGGCATTTTCCTTCAGCTGTCCCACCAGCGGGTCAGGCTCACCAATCTAAGCCAGACTCCTCCTCACTCCACTTTCCTGTCTCAGGGAAGCACAACATTTTCCTTTCATCAGCTCTCCAAGCCAGAAATCTAAGTGTCACCTATGACCGTGCCCTGCTTCTCAGCAACCATGTCTCAGTTGTTACTGCCCCACTTAGCAATGGCTTCCTGTTCTCCTTGAGATGACTTATAGAGCTCTGTCCCTTGAAAATTATTTCCCTGTTTACTTCTTCAATCTTATCTCTTACTGTTGAGTCCTTGTGCTTCAGAGGATTTCCAGGAACATACCAGGGTCTCCTCCTTTACTCTGAATTGGGCATCAGGTGGCAAAGTCAGGGCAGAGTTGAATTCTTTCTTAATAACTGTACCACTGTATCAAACACACTGCATCACAGAACTTGAATATTTTGCTGAACAAACAAACCACATTAACAGTTGCTGATTTCTCATTGCATTGAAAATAAAGTCTAGGTTTTCTCAGTTTGACAATGAAGGGCATTTTGTCATAACCTGTTTATTTTGTCTTGCCACCAATGCCTCCCTTACCACCCATGTTGAATGGTTGGTCTGAGTGTATGAATAAAAGGAATGATTATCTCTGCAGCTCTCTGCCTTAAGCTTAGACAGAGTCAGTTCTGTGACCCCAATGTATTTACTTGCAGCCTGAGTGGAAGTCATTTCGCCTCTCAGAGTCTCACCTTCCCTCTTTACTAATCAACACAGGGGAGCAGAGGACATAGACAATCATTATTTTATTTTGGTGTGTGTGTGTGTGTGTGTGTGTGTGTGTGTGTGTGTGTGTGTGTGTGTGTGTAACATGGAGCACACAGAGGTTGGAGGTACCTGGGCTACAGGGTGAGATCCTGTCTCCAAAATTAACCAAACACGAAAGAAAAAGAAAGAAAGAAAGAAAGAAAGAAAGAAAGAAAGAAAGAAAGAAAGAAAGAAAGAAAGAAAGAAAGAAAGAGAATATCTGCTTGAATTTAAGTGATTAGCATCTCTTGGCAGTTGGACTTTCAGGAGTCAGTTCTCTCCTTCCACCATGTGGGTTCTAGGGATTGAATCAGGTTGTCAGGCTTGGCATTAAGTGCCTTTTTCTGCCAAGCCTTCTTGCTGGCCTAACAGAGACAATCTTGACATGCGGGGTGTAGATAATCTTGCATGTTGTAGATGCATGTTGCATCTTGTATTTGTATCTCCAGTACCTAGAACTGTCTCAGAAAATATGTATCTCCAAACAGTTCACAGAACAAAAGTTCCATGGCATGATAAATGCAATATAGTGTATTTACACACACACACACACACACACACACACACACACACACACACACACACACACACACTGTGGTATGATATATGTAATAGTGTAATAGAAAAGAATGTATTAGGTGAACAATTGGCTCTTTTTATGGCTCTGCCTCTAGCTTGCTATTTAACCCTGAGCAAGTTGCTTAATCTTGGTGGGCCTTAGTCACCTCAGCTATGAAAAGGTACTGATACCACCTGTCCTATTGTTAATCATAGAGGGTTGCTGAGAGGATCAAACTGAAACAATAAATTAATGTCTTCAATAGCACTAATTCATAATATTCAAAAAATAGAAGTAGTCCAAATTGTCTATTAACTGATGAGTGGCTAAATAAAGTGTGAGAATTCACAAAGTGAAATATTACTCAGACATACAGATAATGAAATCCTGATTTGTACTATTTTGATGAACCTTCAAAACACTATACTAAGTAAAAGAAGCTGCTTATATGATTATATGGTATAATTTATATGAAATGTTTAGAACAGACACATTCAGATACAGAAAATAGATTTAACAATTGCTGGGAGTGAGCATGGAGGGGTCAAAAGGGAGAGTGACTACTAATGATTATGAGATTGCTTTTGGAACAATGAAAAATTTCTAAAATTAGATTATGGAGATGGCTGTACAAACATGTAAATGTATTAAAAACCCGAGCTGTATACTTGATAGATGAATGATATGGTATGTGAAACATATCTCAGTAACACTTTGAAAAAAGTTTGACAATTTCTCAAAGTTGAACATACCTATTTTTAAAAAAGTTAGTTACTATATACATGACTCAGCCATCCCACTTCAGGGCTGGTGAGATGACTCAGTGGGCAAAGGTGCATGCCACTGAAACTGATAACCTGAGTTTGATCCCCGCTGGACCCACATAGTGGTAGGTATGAACTGACTCCCACAAGTTGTCCTCTGATCTCCACATGCATGCCATGGCATGTGTATATCCCTCCCCCCATACACACACAAAATAAATAAAAATGTAATAAAAAGCCAGGTGTGGTGGCTCATGCCTTTAACTCTAGCAGTCGGGAGGCAGAGGCAGGTGGATCTCTGAGTTCAAGGCCAGCCTGGTCTACATAGTGAGTTCCAGGCCAGCTGGGGTTACAGAGAGACCCTGTCTCAAAAAAAAAAAAATCTTTTAAAAAATAAAATGTAATAAAAATGTAAAGAGAGAAACGTTTTCAGCTTACTCATAATAGCCCCCAAATGGAAACATTCCAAACGCCTATCAG